CTTGAAATCATTTTGAGATTCCCCCCCCCCCAGTATGCATTAGAATAATATAATCATAGAGTTGGACCACATGAGCTATCCAGTCCAACCCCCGCCATGCAGGAAAAGCATAATCAAAGTACCCCTGACAGATGGCCATCCAGCCTCTGTTTGAAAGCTTCCAAGGAAGGAGCTTCCACCACACTCTGAGGCAGAGGGTTCCACTGTTGAACTGCTATTACAGTCAGGAAGTTCTTCCTAATGTTCAGGCAGAATCTCCTTTCCTGCCATTGGAATCCATTGGTCCAAGTTGTAATATCCAGAGCAGCAGAAAACAAGCCTCCTCCCTCTTCCTTATGGCATTCTTTCACACATGTCTCTTCTCAACCTTCTCTTCTGCAGGCTAAACATACCCAGCTCTTTAAAACACTCTTTAAGGGCATGGTCTGCAGACCTTTGATCATTTTAGTTGATCTATTCTAGACACCTTCCAGCTTGTCAATATCTCTCAATTAGGGTGAGGATAGATCACGCCTAGGGGAAATGAAGTATTTCTGAATTTTATCTTTGCATTGATATTTTGACTTTCATGTGTTACATTTGAATTGCCTGTGTTTTATCCCTTTCAAATGATGAATGCTGCCGGTTTTATTATAGAACTAGCTTAGGTACCTGGCAATGCCTGGGTTAGGTATTTTATAAAGATAAATATTAGAAGTAGTCATTGTTTGGTTTTGGATTTTACAAATGGACCCATTAGAAAATGCATAAGGATGTGGGTGAACTGGAACTATTTTATGATGTCTTGTTGGATATGTTTGCCAAGTTTGGGACAGATCTATTGCCGGATTTGTTCAGAGTGCTCTCTGGAAGTGGGAGCTATCTTGTAAAATCAATAGATAGATAGATTCATGCATTCATATATACATGCATATTTTCACTTTTACATATACAGTGATACCTTGAGTTATGAATTTAATTTGTTCTGTGACTGAACTATTAACTTAAATTGCTTTTATCTCAAAGCAAATTTCCATTGAAATCCTGGTAATCTGTTCTGTGTTTGAAGACAAACACACTAGGAATAAACACCACTCAAAATTCACTGACCCAAATTCCTCAAAGCGGACAGCAATCTCCCAAAGCATACAAGAGCACAGGCCACAAAGGCTACTCCCTTGGAGCTTTAAAGCTCTGTACTTTAACACTAGCACTCCCTCTGTCACTAGTTCTTAATTCAAAACGTGGTTCGTATGTCAAGTGAAAGCCCAGGCCGAGCGGTGGCTTAACTCAAAATGCTTTTAAGTTGGGATGCTCTTAACTTGAGGTACCACTGTACAGATTAAAAAAGAAACAATTAGGTGAACATATTCCTCAAATCATTTTTGTTGCCTTCCATGCAAGTTAAACCATAATTTGAAGTGGTCTTATCTAGCTGTATTAGATACTTCAATCAGGTGGTGGATTCAGTTTAATATGGTTGATTGAAAACTAGAGAAGTATGCTTTGCTGGCGTTCCTTGTGTGATCAATGAATAAAAACACTGGAATTGTTGTTTTACTTATATTTGTTGAAATGTAGGCAAATGTATATTAATTCAAATACATCTGCTGTGTTTATATATTGGTGCCATCTAATTGGTATTGGTTTCTGTTAGTAGTAAAGGATGATTTCCTTTTGTGGTATCTTAATCCCGCAGAACATAGGGTACTCTCCAGAGTAAATGAGATAAGAAGAAATTTCCATTGTGTGAGCAACATTATAAATAGTCTATGCAGCTAATTAACATTTTGAAAGGAAAATTCAGAATCAAAACTGTAAGAATATGGACAAAGTGAAATACATTGACAGCTTTATTTTACTGCATGCTTAGTTGAAAGCAAATCCTGCAGATGTTCAGTGTCATATAATCCTAAATTAAGTGTATTAGAGTTGTAGTACTGACATAATTTGAGCAAAGAGATACAATGTCAATTCTTAATAGTGTCCACTAGAATGCACTCTGTTTTCAAAGTATTATTTATTGTGAATGGAACTGTTAACTGCTTTTCTGGAAAATTATTTTATTTTTTTTAATAAAGGATAGATCTTTGGAGAAACATTGAGTTCGTATATATTTTTGAGAACCATCGATTCTATAATGAGGATAAACATCAAAGGAGAATAAACAGATACATTTTGCTACATTATATAATTAATAAACATATTTTTATTTTACTTTATTGAGTATTCTATTCAAATGTATTACTGTGTATTCATGTAAGAGCATGAACATTATTTTGAAGATTTAAAAGTCAAACATAACTAAACAGATTTAACACTGAGTATTTTTGTCTTTCTATGGCTGTTTCATTGCTTTCACTAATCAACAAAGGCTGTGGAGATTTAGACCACTTCCATAAATTATAATGACTTTCTCTCCCTTCCTTTTCCTGTATTTACCACAGAAAAAAGGAAAGAGGAAATGATGTTTCTAAGAAGTGCAGTGTTTTTATTCCTACTACTGAACAATACATAACTTAATTCTGTTGAAAAACCCAGTACAGTGATACCTTTACTTAAGAGTTTAATTTATTCTGTGAGTGAGCTCTTAACTCAAATGTTCTTATCTCAAATCAATTTTCCCATTGAAATGCTATTAATCCATTCCAACCTACCAACCCCCCCATTTTACGTGTTTTTAAATCAGACATTGTACTTTATAAATAACAAAGTATGTATAAATGCACGTTCACATGGAAGAACAAAAAAGAAATATCAACTTTTAAAACATAGAAGCACAAAGTTGTGGCAAGAAAGCACAAAGCAAAGAGGCAGAAGCATCATTTTCTTCATACTGTACTCATTTCAGCCTCCCTCTCTTGCTCTCGCTCTCGCTCTCTCTCTCTCTCTCTCTCCATGAAGCCAGGGGGGAAAAAAACCACTCAAAATTAACTAATCCAAATTCCTCAAAGCAGACAAGAGCAAAGCTTACAGCAATCTCCCAAAGCCGACAAAAACACAAGGCACGAAAGCTGCTCCCATGAAGCCCTAAAGCTCTGTACTCTTGTTCTAGCGCTCCCTCTGTCACTAGGTCTTAACTCAAAATGGCACTAGCGCTTTATTTTTGATGGTGCTTTTCCTGCATGGTGGGGGGTTGGACTAGATGGCCCATGTGGTCTCTTAAACTCTAGGATTCTATGAAAATGTTGCTCTTATGTCAAAACGAAACCCAGGCGGAGCAACATATCTGCTCAAAGTACTCTTAAGTTGGGACATTCATAAGTAGAGGTTCCACTGTATTGATTTAACCCAGATTTGGCAGATGATTCCATTTCTAACCAGAATGTCTGAGTCTGATGAAGTTTTGAGCATTTGAAATATGAATGGGTATTTAGATTTCTTGAATGTAAGCATTCCCGAATTTTCTGAGCAGGGAGAGCCACACAAATGTATGATCCCCCCACCCCACCCCAAAACAAAATTCCTATAGGTCATAAAATTAAAATATATGATAATAGTGCCCCTGAACCATATGTGTGTGTATGTATGTATGTATATTGGTTGTTAGATGGGCCATCCTCTTCTTGACCTGCATTTGTAGAAGCAGTGTGTCAGACATGAATTATTATTACAAGTACGAGGGGTATTTTTTAAGTAAGGTCCGTTTTGTTGTAGACACTAGTAGTTCACGTGCATACCTCAACGAGCGCGTGCATCTTGTACCGGCATGCCTCGGGAACAACTGTGCTCAGTTTCCGCTCTGTAGCTAACCTGTACGGTTCTGTTCTGTGCTTTAAAAATGTTTAAGACTATCAACTCACCCTCCGCATGTGAGGTTCACTCAGTGATACGGTTTTTGTCAGCAAGGAACCTGCCTGCTGCAGAAATTCATCGACAGATTTGTGAAGTGTACGGTGATACTGTTATGAGTGAAAGCAAAGTGCGTAAGTGGGTACGACAATTCAAAGATGGCCGTGACAGCGTCCATGATGAGGACCGCTCTGGTCGCCCTTCTTTGATTACAGTGAACTCTTCGTTATCGGAGCAGGCGGCAAGTTTTTATGAAGAGGGTATTTTAAAATTGGTTCAGAGGTATGATAAGTGTTTGAACAAACTTGGCAACTATGTCAAAAATAGAGTGAAGTATGTACTTTCTGAAAATTAATTTACTTTTTTGAAATAAACTTTCGTTGTGTACTTATGTTCAAACAGACCTTACTTTAAAAATAGCCCTCGTATTATCTTTATTTATACCCTGCCTTTCTCCCCATGGGGACTCAAGGCACCAAACACACCACATTATACAAGTTTATAAAGTGCAATACAAAGGTTTTAAAGCAATTAAATAAATAATGTTGCTGTTGTTTATTCATTCAGTCGCTTCCGACTCTTTGTGACCTCAGGGAACAGTCCACGCCAGAGCTCTCTGTTGTCCATCAGCACCCCCAACTCCTTCAGAGTCAAGCTAGTTACTTCAAGGATACCATCCATCCATCCATAAATAGTATCAGTATGGTAAAAATAAAATTAAAAATACAGTAAATATACTAAAATTGTATTTAAAACTAATATTCCCCCCCCAATCCCATGCACAGTTCTCCCGTGATCTTAAAAACCTTCTTCTTTAAAAGCCTATCTAAATAAAAAGACTATCTGAATTGGCCCTCCTCAATTATGAAAGCAGATCCATATTGTTATAAAAGAAAGCAGAGTTGTTGTCTTTTTAGAAATATAATTGTCAGCAGAGATCTACAAATATTAGCTTCATTTACTGTCTAAGTCTATCCATCGCTAGTACCATTCTATCTCATATATCTGGCAAATGAATAGAAGTCCTTGAAGAGACCATGTTGCTCTAGAATGTTGTAGTACAGTCAGCCCCCTACTTTTGCTGGGGTTAGGGGTGCAAAGCCCTAGAAAAACGTGATTAAGGAATGCTTGTTTTTAACTTGAGAGAACACCTCTCTAGGAATCTCCAGGTCTTTCCACATGATTCTATGATCAGCTTTTAACAAAAATTAATGTTGTGCCCCTTATAGTTTCAGGAACACATGAAGATGATGTTCTATGGATTGCTATGGCAGGTATACACCAAATCTGGGCACTCATGTTGGAGTGTGGAAAACTACCCAAAGGAAGGTAAGCAAATTCTATCTATCATAGAAATGCAAGGTTAGTAATTGGTGTGCAGCTTCTCTCCACCTCTTACATCCTTATTGAAACTTCGGGGGGAAATCCAAGCTGTTATTAATCAGCAATTAAATCACAGAAGTTTCTTCTTCCACTAAAGCCACTGTAATTATTAGTTACTATAAATGGAAAATAATACCTAAAGAGAAAAGAGGGAACAAATCAGTTTTGAATTTTTAATCAACCATTAACATCAAGGAATAAAGATGTAATTATTCTACAATTAAGTTAAAAAGTAAAAGTTTCTTCCTTTTGGTTGACAAGTTGTTTAATGTAAGTGATGATATTAAAGAATGGGCTGCCAGTTCACCTAATGTCATAAATCCCACGGAAATTCCTCCTTTTCATCTTAGCGATCTAAAGAAGGGAACATGCCTCCGGTTTGCTGGGAGTGGAAATGAAGAGAACCGGAACAATGCCTACCCCCATAAAGCAGGCTTTGCCCAGCCTTCTGGTCTGTCTATTGCTACTGAAGAGCCATGGAACTATCTTTTTGTAGCAGACAGTGAGAGCAGCACAATACGAACAATTTCCCTGAAAGACGGAGCTGTGAAGCACCTTGTAGGAGGAGAGAGAGACCCAATGGTAAATTACAATTGCTTGTGTTGCTGTTCCCATTGGTTCCTCTCAAGACCAATTTAGCAAAATTTGTCAAAGCAGTATGTAATAAGCTGTTTTACATGGTGATTCAAGTCTTCTATGTTATATTTTTCAGTCCGTATTATAATTGTTACTATAGATAATTATCAATGAAACAATGAATTCTTACTTCTCCTTGCAAATTAGAAACATTAAGTTCTCTCTGCACAGCTCTGTTGACCTACGGAGCATGGTGTGTCAGCTGAAATGGGTAGTGCAGACAAAATATGCCCCATCAAGATGTCCTATGTCAGGAAAAAGGCAGGAGATCAATTAATTAAATAAATAAATACATAGAAGGTGAGAAGACAGTTTTACCATTTTCTTTGCTCCTCCGGGGCATTTTAAGCCCAGGAGTTGCCTTGGGGGTTAAGAGTAGGGGCTGAAGATAGAGGGGTGGGGAGAGGTGAGCCAACCATCTGGGGAGCCACCCCATGATAGTTGCCCACTGCCATTTATGACTAGGTTAGGATTCTTTCTCTTATCCCAGTTTTCCCAGTGATGGGACATTTTTATGTTGAATGAATTCCACATGCAATCACACACACTCATATTTACAATGCAATTCTATATGTGTCTTCTTGTTATGTGGCTTCAAATGAACTCTTGACATATAGCATCTGTATCATAAGAATTTTTTTAACAAATTTTTTAACAAAGCTAAAAGACTGATTTCCTTATAGTTATCCAGTACCCACTGGATAACTTTAAAGAAATCAGTCTTTTAGCTTCAGTGGGGCTAAGTGGGAATTGGTACCCTGGTCTCCCAGAGTCTTAAATCATTACATCACATTAGCTCTATATATGTTTGTGTCCTTCAAAGTAAATTCACTGATGATTTAAATCATTGCTACCTGAAGCATTGCCTAGTAATCTTTCTTTTCTTTTTTTCTTTTTTTGTGAAAGAATTTATTTGCTTTTGGTGATATCGATGGAGCTGGGATAAATGCAAAGCTCCAGCATCCCCTAGGAATCACCTGGGATAAGAAAAGAAGCCTCCTTTATGTTGCAGATTCCTACAATCATAAGGTAAGTCTGGATAATGACTCAGCTATTTTGACTTCTTTTCGTGGCCACTACTGGTGCAAAACTGATAAATTTGATATTTCTTTATATATTCTCATGGTTGCTTTTTATACATTATTATCAATTTCTTGATTATTTGTGGAGGGTGATTATGATTATGCATACAGCGTCAGTAAAATTGCTAAGCGGAAATTCCCACATGGTGATGGGCGTCCTGCGAAATGATTTATGACACTTAACAGCAATAAACATGAGTATAAAGTGGCAAAGGGCTGAGGGCAGCTGGCTGTATTCATCTGCAATTGTTTCCACAGCATGCTTATTACAAGCACAGAGCCCAAAAAAATTCCCTCCCTGAGTCTTTCTAATGATGTAATCTGCACTTTAATAGCTGTAACTCATAGTCAATGTTATCATACAGTTACTGTAAATATCTATAATATTGTAGGTATATTTTCTAGGATACCAGAGACTGGCTAAATATGTCACATGCAGAAATTAAATTCCTCTGCATTTTGACACTGTCATCCATCTTCAAGAAACGTTAGTAAGTTTTTTTATTGAACAACTGCCCCTTTTCCAACAGTCACTTGAAATCCATATCTTTTTCATAATTATTCATGGAAGTGATTTGCTTCTTTTGTGTAACAGTAGTGAGTAGTTACACAAATGGTCCTTCATGTTGTTAAAAGATAACACTTCAGTGTTTAATTCACCGTTGACTCTAATGTCTTATCAAATGAGCACGTGTACTAATCATTTTTTATCAAAACGTATTCATTTTCTATTAGCAATGTGGCAAGTCATTATGGGAAAATATAGGACCTCTCTCTCTTTCTCTCAGCTTGTATTTTACAAGTTGCAACAGTAGGATTAAAAGTGGTGCTTTAATGTGTGTGATTCATTTAAATAGGGGAAATAAAAAGATGTAGGAACACAGTTAATTAGTGAACTAAACTCACACCTTGGCCCCCCAAGCTATTCTAATAATATAATATAATGTAATATAATATATTGTATATACTTATAATTTCATAATATTATAATGTAATGCAATATAATACTACTAATAATATGATATTTTAATAATATATATATATATATTACATGTAATATTACTAATAATATTACAATATAATGGTATAGTACAATATAGTAATATTTAATGCTGATATTATGGTATGCTAATAATATAATATATTGTATGTATATATATCTTGTAAGCCGCTCTGAGTCCCCTTAGGGGGGGAGAAGKGCGGCATMTAAATGTCATAAATAAATACCCTGCCTATGCTGTTGGTAGTTTCTGATGCAGGACTTTCAGGATGATTTTTGGTTTCTATCAGGATGATTTCTGATTGAAGTTTGTTTATCTTCTCCACTCTATTCCATTGAGAATAGGGATAGTCCACATAGACCTCCTGATTTGTGGAGTCTAGCACTTGATTTAGATTTTGATGTTGATAAGTAGAATATTTATAATTGTCTTTTGATGTACTTTTTGTTTAATTAGTTCTCCCCCCCCCCCCCAGTTATGGCTCTTCTTCCAAAGCACAGCACAGAATATTAATAATGACATATTAAATATTAAAAAAGTAAAGGTTTCCCCTGACATTAAGTATAGTCATGTTCTGGGGGTGGTGCTCATCTCAATTTCTAAGCCAAAGGGCTGGCATTGTCCATAGACACCTCCAAGGTCATGTGGCCAGCATGACTGCATGGAGCGCTGTTACCTTCCTGCAGAAGCGGTACCTATTGATCTACTCAAATTTGCACATTTTTGAACTGTTAGGTTGAAAGAAGCTGGGGCAAACAGCGGGAGCTCACCCCACTCCCCAAATTCGAACCATCAACCTTTCCGTCAGCTCAACGGTTTGACCTGCTGTGCCACCAGGGGGCTTTAGTTAATATTATAACATGACAAATATTGAATTGTTTCTATGAAGCATTGAGTATTAATGATTAAACATTTCACTGCTTTAAGGAAGATCCAATTTATGATTTTCAATAGATATATATTATTGTTTATTATAACCTTAATACTTATTCAGAGATTTGAGTTTCATTTTATTACCATATTGCTCAATACCAAACAATTACTCTGAATTGCTTTCAGATCAGTTTTCAGCTAATCAAACATGCAGTCTCATTTATTTATTCATTCATTCAGTTTGCAAGTGACTGAATTATATATTCCATCCTCTCCCACTGTGGGATCCAAGGAGACTGACATCTAGATTAAAACAAGTATAGATAAAACAATGTATAGTAGAAACATTAATAATGAAAACATTTTAAGCAATGAAAAACACATTGAAAGCATTGTAAGAACAAAAATACAGCACACCCTCCTTCCGCCATCATTCAAAAGTTGCAGATTTGTTCAAATGAAAAGATTTTGCCTGTGAAAAGAGAGCAGAGAAGCGACCTGCCGAGCTTCCTGCGCATGACTTGGGTGCAGCCACTAAGAAGGCTGTCTCTCTGTCATGTTCCCAATAGATGGGCTTGTGAGGGCAATTGGATCATGAGAAAACTCTGCCCCGCAAGATCTCAAGAGCTAGGCCCTCTTCACATGGGGCATTTTTGCCCCGTTTTGTCGTTTTATTCACAGCAAGGACAAAGCCTGCCGTGCACCCTCAACGACACATGGCAGGCCCCACCCACATTTCTCCCAAAGTGGAGGGGAAGCGTTAGCGCTTTTGCCACCACTATGGGGAGGAAAGTGCATTTTCCTCCCCTTTTGCTGTATGATGACAGAAGAGGTGGTGGGGCAATGTGCGGTGCTGCCCTTTCTGCCATTTGAAGGGGACAGGGTGCCAACCCTGTACCATCCCCACCATGTGATGGAGGAAGGAGGGAAGGTGTGCAGGGCGGCACAAAGCCTCATGCGCCTTCCCTTTTGTGTCGCAACAGCACAGTCCGATAGGGCCATGTGAAGAGCTCCAAGCTTTTCCAGAGTTGTCTTCTGCATTCTGATCAACTTCATTTATTCAGACTGTTCGGTGACTTTCTCTAAAGATTCATTTAAAGAAAAGAAGAGATTGCATGTACACATTATATATTCCCGCAGAACAGTACTGATCAGGTTATCTCCTAACTCCATAACGATCTGTTGGTGTACATGATTAAAAGTTGTATGATTGAAATGTATTTTTGTATCATTGGCCTAGGTTATTTTAAGTTTTTGCCAATTATTTTAAGAAAACTTTTAAAATCTTACTGAAAATTTTAAAAAGTGAATATAAAAATCTAGAATTGACTTCTAGATTTGTTCTTTCTTATCCATCACGATGTCAAAAAACTGTTGTCAAGTAAGCACAGATATAAGCAAATCAGGAGCCAAATGTTTATGCAACTAAAAAGTTGTGTTTTAGTCTCCTCTGTTGATCAGGAACACAAATGTGCTTACTGCTATATGCAGCAAAGAACTACAATAAATTTGTAAGTCACCTTGAATCTCACTGTTGGGGAAAAGATGTAGCTGAATTTAGCATTAGTAATAATAATAAAAATTTTATCTATATTTCAGTATTTAAATATATACACATCAAGCATTTTGCTGGTTGTAATGAAAGCTTGGGTATTTAAACACTTCTGTATCTATGCAACATCATGACTGTGTTCACTGAAATGCTTAGAAATCTTAATTAGCAGTTGCATGCACCTGTGAGATAACAGTATTTCCCTCATATTTTGATTTTCCCTAATTAAATAGCACAATACTCTGTTCTAAGGATCTTCTTCTAGCAGTTATTGGTAACAAAGATCTTTCTATTAATTCTTGAAGTTGAAGTTGAAGGTCAAATACTTGCTTCTGTGGACTTTTCCTTTAAAGTTCAAGCAACAGAACCTTTCGTGTTATGATTATTATAATTATTATGATTAGACGACTGTAATGTGCTCTACGTGGGCATTACACATCTTGAAAAGCTGCAGCTAATGCAAAATGCATCAGTCAGATTGGTGTCAGGGGTGCATTTTAGAGATCATATAACAGCAGTCAAGCAAAAGCTGTACTGGCTTCCAGCTTGCTTCTGAGCTCAGTTCAAGATGCTGCCGGTGACCTATAAGGCCCCAAACAACATGAGACTGGAATATCTGAAATACCACCTCTTCCCATATGAGGCTGCCAGAAATTTCAGATCTTCAGAGGATGCTCTATTAGATTGGGTGCAACTTACTAGCTTGGGTGCATGTCACGGTTTTTTCTTTAGCATTGTTTCGACTGTTGAACTCCTAACTCAAGGAGCACCATCTGTTCTAAGCTTCCAGTGAGCAGCCAAAACAGTGCTGTTCCACCTGGCATTCAAATATGAAAATTGCTGTTTTAACTATTTTAAAACTGGATTTGAGAACAGCTTTTAGAGTGCCTTCAAGTATTTTTATGGACTAACTTAGGAGATTATTAACAACTATTTAACAGCCTTGTTAACAACTAATGTAAATGATGCTTATTGCATGATGTCAAAAGAGTGGCATTTGTGTTTTCCCTTTGTTGTTTGGCCATACTTTTTGATGCATGGGGGGAAACCTGTGAATAACTTCCTGAAAGCAATTTGTTCCATTGTTGACAGTGGTGTGATAAGTCACTAGCACTGTGGCATCAAGATTGAGAGATGTGTTGGTGTGGGTATGGTGTGGGCATCATTCTTCTCCATTTCACTTCCCTGTTCCCAAGCTGGGGCCATTCAGCTTTTGGCAAGCAGACGGACAGTAGCTTTGACAACACATCCATTACTTCCCTCTTTTACCTCAGTTGCTTCCTTTTTTTATTCACTGTTGTGGATTCTCTGTTGATTAAGCATTACCTTCATGTGGGATATAGTTTTTGAAAGTTTGTTAACTTGGATTGACTTTTGAATGTGGATGCATTCTGTTCATTGTGATATGATGTGCTGTTCAAAATTACAAATATTGTCACCTGTAGGAATCTCTTAGTGTTTCATTTGCCCCAAGACCCCAAAACAAGTTTTAGCACTGATAACTACACACATGCACATCATAGCAGCTTTGAAATATCCATATGTATTGTGTTGATCGTATGTATTATGCTGGGAGGTACTTAGAGATTTACATGTTTACGGCATGTCTATCAGCCCGCCAGGACCCTGAGATCTTCTGGGGAGGCCCTGCTCTCTATCCCGCCTGCTTCACAAGTGCGGCTGGCGGGGACGAGAGACAGGGCCTTTTCTGTGGTGGCCCCTCGGCTGTGGAACGCCCTTCCCATGGAGGTAAGATCAGCCCCCTCGCTAATGGTGTTCCGAAGAAGATTAAAAACTTGGATGTTCGAACAGGCATTTGGTTAATCAGTGCATTGAATGTGACGATTACAGGAATGGAAATATGGACGACGAATTTGGATCATGACTCTAGTGATGAGAAGCATTGTGTTGTTATTGTTGTGTAATACTGTATATTGTGCTTTTGTGTTTTGAATTGTATATTGTGTTTGATTTTACCCTTGTTGTAAACCGCGTTGAGTCTCCGGTTAGGCTGAGAAACTGCGGTATACAAGTAAAGTAAATAAATAAATAATAATAAATAAATATTGCATAACTGCCAAGTTGCACAGTAAAGAAAGCATGAAATTAACATGCTCACAATAACAACTCAAATTTTGAAGTTACACAATTCTTGCAGTTTATTTTTTACGGGGCATGCCCAATAAAGGGCAATGCATGAGTTGAGAAGAGTGGTCTAGGAGATGGTGCGAAGCGAAAATCACAACACTATTTTGAGAGTGATATTAGATGGATCATGTGATAAGAGGAGCTGCACCAACATGTTCATGCTTTCTATTAGGATGTACTTGCAATACCAAAATACTGTAAATCAGGGGTTCTCAATTTTTTTCAGTCGCTGAGCAAAAGTTTCCCGTGGAGTCCCATGAAAGTTTATATATTATATATTATATAATGTATGTGTGTGTATATATATATGTGTGTATGTATGTGTTTGGAAAAAAGACTTTTGGTGGCAAGGGAGGTGGGGAAGGGGGAGGACCAGGAAAGAGAAGGGAAAGCAGAGGGAGGGAGAGGAAACTATGGAACCCCTCAGTATGCTGCATGGAGCCTCAAGCCACTTTGAGCTATAAGTAAATACATACCTGCATACAATTATTAACAAAGTTCTTTTTGTATTATTTTCCTTTAGATTAAAATTGTAGACCCCAAAATGAAGAATTGTGCTACATTGGCAGGTACAGGAGAAGCAAGCAATACAATTGGTTCCAGCTTCAACTCGTCAACTTTTAATGAACCAGGAGGCTTGTGTGTTGAAGAGGGAGGGCATTTGCTGTACGTTGCAGACACAAACAATCATCAAATTAAAGTGCTAGATTTAGAAACCAAAACCGTTTCACTGGTAAGCCGTCTTCATCAAATGTTATATTGCACTATATAGCAATTTGTGTGCAGAATTAATTATTTACAGTTGAATCATCCTTCATCAGATATCCAAAACTACTGCCTGGAGAGTATGAAACAGAGCAGTAAATGCATTCTTATATTGTTTTATAACGATCTGGCAACTAGAGCAGCTTTTGTGTTAAGGATATCCTGAGGCTTAAAATAAATGTTCCATCTGTTTAAAGAGGTTGGAAAGGACACTAGTGCAATTAGAGTAAGCTGAGATACAGAAACTTCAGCTTTCAGAGTGTTATTGAACTTAGATATGGGAGATCTGATTCAAGTCTCCTATCAGTCCTAATGAGTAGATCTAATGAGCTCCATGTCCTCTCTTCTCATTCCCACCTTAAAAAGGAAATGTCCCACCCAGTGGAATCTTAAGAAGACAAATGAGATAACTATTGTGAAGCACTTCATACATGTTTAAGAAGTCTTTAATTAAATAAATAGGCAATCAGATCATGTTTTTCATTATGTTAATAAGCCTCTGCAAATAAGTAGAATAGTATTTTTATTGTGAAGGATATAGGCCTCATATCTGCACAATTATGTTCAAAGCAGCGAAAATGGTTTTTTCCCAAAGGATTGCTCCTGGTCTCACCCACAGAATATGAAGACTTGATCATTTAAAGTCAATATCTGCAATTATAACCCTTTAGAACTATAGAATAATAGAGAATTGTCTTGTGTTTTAAGACTACTGATATAGGCAAAAGAATGATAATAAGTTAACCATGTCACAACATGAATAACATTTGCAGTGTAATGAATAGTAGAGCCATTTTTCTAAAAGCTACTTGTGTTTGAGCTGAAAATGTATTTACACAGTTAAGAATGGGGCACCTAAACAAGTAAAAATTGCCAAGTGAAGGAATATATATCTACCACTTTGTTTGCCATGAAATACACACTGGTAACATCTCAACTATTCTAGATTCTAGAAAATCTCCATAATAGCAACTTGTGGCACACGTATTTTGTATAAAATATTATTCATATCATTTCAATGTTAAAAATAGAATGAGTGCTTGGATTAAACAGCAAAGTTGTTTTGCTTTTCAGGGTTTTTTTTTTTTTGTATCCATCTGTTACTCATCCAGTTCAGAATTTGGTTTGCAAAAGCTGATGAACTAATCATAGTGTTTACTGAGAAAACAAACCCTTTGATTCTAGACCATCTACCTTAGAATTGAGAATCTTTTTTATTGTGCCAGCGATCTTCTCTGTCTGTACAATGTTAAGCCAACTCTGCAGATATGTCCTCCACTCCCCTGACACTGGAATAAATGAGGAACCTTTGCTTGGTCTGAATTCTGTATTAACAAGGTTAATTATGTATTAACAAGGCTTGAGGAACTTAAGATAACGGGCAATGCTCTCATATTATCCTGAGTTTCTGTAAAAGCTTTTCATAAGTTTGCTGTGAGTTGGATGCCTGTCATAAATATGGGTTAAATGTCAGGAGAGAATGCTTCTGGAGCATGGCCATACAGACTGGAAAACTCACAGCAACCCTGTGATTCTGACCATGAAAGCCTTCAACAACAAACTTTTTATAGTTTCAGATATGTTTGCTCAATATTTTATATGAAAGCCAGAAAATTGATTCTCATAATGAGGCCTATGGTTCCAAGCCCTCCCCCTCCCGAAATTCTGAATATACATTGAGCCTTCAAAATGACAAATTGGGCCTCTGGAAGACTTGTAAGGGGTCTGATTTAAATGTAATTCCCCAAATTACACCTTACACCAGAAAATGCAATTTCCCCATAAAACTAGCAATTCTCCCAATTTTCTTTTTAGAAAATAGGTCTGGAAAGAAAGGCATTTAAATGGCAAGTTGGTCCCCCAACGAAGAATATGAGATAGTATCATAGGGATGTTGTCCACCAAAAAAAAAGCCCACCAAGAAAGCTTGCTGGGCAACATTCCCTTAAAAAAATCCACTCCTGCTACAGGTTGGCCAAACAGAAAAAGCTTACTGTCTTTGCAATTGCAGTGTTTTGCCCATCAACCTGCAAATAGTATTGAAGCCATTGGGTATTATGACTTGCTGGCTATACTTCTGTAGAATACATTGGACTACTTTTATTGTGCAACAATTTAGCTTCCAGTTTAATAAGTTGTGGTTTCTTTGTAACTATCAAGTTGATGAATGTAGTCGGCTTTTCCAAATACTAAACTAAGAACCTTACAACAAATGTGTATTTCTTTCTCTTCCTTTGATAGCTGCCTCTTCTAAATTCTGACACAGTGGATGCTGTAAACGATCAGAGTATGCAAAAGCTTGAAATGGCAAAACCACCAAAGCTGCCTAAATCTGCCCCAAATCTTCAGTTGCCATCACTGACTGTCAGCCCTGGCCAAGCACTTCAGTTTGCATTGAAGTTAAGCCTCCCTCCAAATACCAAATTGACTGAAGAAATGCCCAGTGCATGGTTCCTCACAGCAGAAGGTAAATGGCCTCATTTGTTGTTTAGAGGGAATATTTCTTGAACCCTTGTTATTTTGTTAGTGACATGACCATCACCACGAATCTACTTTGACAGACATAAACTATATTCGGAAATTTAGATTGAAGCTGGGTATACGCTGTCCTGATTTAAACTTTTTTTTTTAATTTCTCAAATCACTATAGAGTTAGAAATGTGCATAGAACTTGTGTAGATTGTGCAGTAATAGGGCCGTTGTATGCAGGCATGTAGCCAGGGGAAGGGCTTGAGGGGCTTCAGCTCCCCCCCCCCCCCGAAATTCTAAGGGTGATCCACGAGAAGGCCTTACTGGTCCATTATTTAAACTGTTATGTTTATTCATATCATGATCTGATCACCATGCTCAATATATCCCATATGCACGGGGGTATTGGGCTAATGATACAAAAGGTTTCTAGGGTGGATCCTCTCTCACTCAGACTCAGCCCCCCCCCCCCCCCCCCCCCCCCCCAAATCAAAATCCTGGCTACGGGCCTGGTTGTATGTGAGTTCAAAATTCTTAAAAGCCATCTGTGGTTTCAGCCAGATTCCAGACAAACCATTTCTCACATTTAAACTAAAATTACAGGGGGGTTTTGCCGTTAGAATTTTTATGGGTCATAAAGTATATCTTTTAAGGTTTAAAATAAATTGAAGATACCCAGATGCTCGGCTACCAACAGAAATTTGTCTCCAAATATAAAATTACTTTTTCAGAGTTAACAAGATGGTTACAGAATTAAAAATTATGTTGCCCAGAGACTTCTGTTCTCTCAAACTCTTGGATAAGACTTTGATGGGCATGTTCTTCTATAGACATCTTTGTAGTCCATTCGAGTTTTTACCAGGACAAGAATTCCGGCCTTCTAGATATTGCTTAATGAGAACTATTAACTTATGGAGAGATATATACAGTCTTAACATCTAGAGAGCTACTCATTTCATTAACTCTGATATATATCCTGAAGCATCCATTTTCAATATTCATTTTTTTCTTACATTACAATACAGCCTGTGATACCTTTAGATCAGTGGTTCCCAATCTGTGGCCTGCGAGACCTAAAATAAGATCTGCGGCTCTAGATTATTGAATAGGTTTTCTGTGGGCGAGGAGATGGCGACTACTGGATGGCATATCTTCTGTATCAGAAACTAGAGCTGATGTGGTCTGTCCAATGCAATTTTCTGATTCAGCAACCCAAATAACCAAACTGAATCTAAAGTTGACCAAAACCTGATTCGTAACCCTGTTGGTACTAATGTTGGAGAGTGGTCCCTGGTCAAGTGATCCCTGGTCAAAAAAAGGTTGGGAACTACTTATTTTGATACTGTTGTGGAAGGTGTCTTCGACTATTATTTTTGGTGTTTTTAAAAAATCCAAGCACATGTTTTATGATAAATTCTTTGCAAAAGAATAAACTGTAACATACCAATATATTGAAATGCTGAAATACCACAGTGATGGCATATCTTTTCTTTTCTAGGTAGCGAGTGGCTGATACATGAACAGAAGGCATTGGGAGAAATCGAGGACATTTCCAAACAGCCTGTGATCCCATTTCAGATACCCGCAATCTGCCTCTCGCCTGAAGTCGTACTGTCCATTAAAGTGTGCCTTTATTATTGTAGCAAGGACAGTAATGCCTGCATGATGAAAGGAATCTCCTTCACTCAGCCTTTCCACATAGCGACTGCACACCAAGGAAGCACAACTCTAATTGAGCTCTTATATGCATTTTGACTGAACTGAAGAAATAGGATAAATTCACTTTCTTAATTATTATTGTCCAATATTCTTTTCACTCCAGAATGCACTTGAAGATTTCCTTGTATTTCCTTCACTTTTGGTCTTCCAACAGAGTGCGACTAATTTTGTCATATATTCCATTTTCAAGTTCCTCTTGAAAGCCTATCAGAGAGCTCTGCAAACATCTGTGCGGATGAGGTAGAAATGACTACTGCATCATAAAAACTTAAAATGGTATTCCTTTAGTACTTTATTATATAAGCAATAAATGGACCCAGGTAACTGCAAGAATAAGGGGAAAGCCCCATCTTGAAAGATCAGTCATAATGCTGCAAAATGTTATAAGACATTTGCCTTGACAGAATACTTTTTTCAGAAGTATAAAATGGCAGATTAAATGTATTTTTCTGTTTGGATTTGCCATCATAATAGGATGTATTTTAAAAAACTGCATCATCTGAAATGATCTTGAAATGCATTGGTAGTATTTATTACATTATATATATATATATATATATATATATATATATATGCGCCTTACATTTCTGGGTGAGCATCTATAACTATTAGTAATAATGACTGCAAATCTTGCTGCATTATGAAGTAGAATGTAAATCTACATTTCATTGTCTTTCTCTATTTTTTCATCTTATGGGTATTATTTACCCCCCCCCCCCCCCCCCCCCCCCAGTTACACAGTGGGTTAAACCGCTGAGCTGCTGAATTTTCTGACCGAAAGGTTGACAGTTCGAATCCAGGGAGCGGGGTGGGATCCTGCTTAGACCCAGCTTCTGCCAACCTAGCAGTTCGAAAACATCCAAATGTGAGTATTTCAATAGGTACCGCTTCTGCGGGAAGGTAATGGTGCTCCATGCAGTCATTCTGTCCATATGACCTTGGAGACGTCTACGGACAACACTGGCTCTTCGGCTTAGAAATGGAGATGAGCACCACCCCCAGAATCGGACATTACTGGACACAATGTCAGGGAAACCTTTACCTTTACCTTTATGGGTATTATTCAGTTTTTCCCATAACTTCCATGTCCTTTCACATATAATGGTGAAACTTCAGGATTAAATATTTTCAGGCTTAAGTTACAATGTCTTCATACTAAGAATTCTTGTTTAATTTTTTTGGCTGAGCTATGTTAAAATCAAGAGGTCATTAAGTGTTGTTTGCATCTATCCCACACAATATTAAGTCCATTGATTTATTTTCATTAGCTTCATAATGCTTTACAAAGATTCATAGTACTATGTATAAGTATTTGTTACTTTGAAGCTCTTTGGTATTGTCATCATGGCACATGATTTGTGTCAAATGCCTTACATTTCCATGCAAAAGCAAAGTTAATCTATAGTGTTGCTGAAGAATTGTCAGGTTTTTTTTCTTTGAAGGGGAACCATATGGTGTAGTTATGACTTTCTTTTCCTGTTCAAAATCACTTGTCAACAAAAATGAAAGTTTAAAGGTCACTTGAATACCAAAAATAGCACTATTCCTTCCAGTACTGTGTAGAATTTGAAAATTTCTGCAGCCTTCTGGCCTTTTGTTCAAGCCAGGTTTTTCAACTCTTTTAAGTAAGTTTGTGCATGTGACAAATACTAGACATGAAATTTTCTCTGCTCTTTTCAAAGAATTTTTTCAAACTGAGTTAAGTATTGTTGACAGAAAAATGCTCTGTTTCAGTGCAAGCAAGATTAATGCACATGATTGTGACCCCTTGCCCTTTACATTTTTCCAAATATTAAAACAGTAAGAGACATTATCTTTCCCGCTGTTGTTTTGATCTGTCTTGGCTAAAATTTGGGAAATGCTTTACACATTTTCAGTTATTGGGTTTGAAAAAAATAATTGTTTTTTTTTTCAAATTATCTTTATTAAGGATTTTTTTTTAACAAATAGGTAAAATCTGAAGTAGGAACTAATAGGTAAAGTGGGTGGGGAAACAGGAGAAGGAAAAGAGAAGTGAAAAAAAGAATAAAAAGGAAAAAAGGAATAAGGAAGGGAAACGGAATGGATAAGGAACTATCTTGGCTTCCCAATCTTCATCTTTTGGTCTTCTGCTTCTTTGATTTCTAAGTATGTTTTGTATAAACTTCTGTTTTCCACTTTCTTCCTTGCCACTAGACATAAATTCAAAGTGTTGGTTTAGCCCAGAGGTTCTCAACCTTTTTTTGACCAAGGACCACTTGGACCACTCTCCAACATTAGTACCAAAAGGGTTACGAATCAGTTTTTGGTCAACTTTGGATTCGGTTTGGTTATTTGGGGTGCTGATTCAGAAAATTGCATTAGATAGACCACATCAGCTCTAGTTTTTGATACAGAACATATGCTATCCAGTAGTCACCATCTTCCCGCCCACAGAAAACCATATTTAATCATCTGTAGCCACAGACCTTATTTTAGGACTCGCAGCCCAGTGGGAACCACTGGTTTAACCACTGCCATACATTCACAAATATGCAAAAATCAATGTCTATTAGGAGAACTGGGAATCCAGTCAATATGCTAACAGGATTGAAAATCTAGGCTTGTTGAGTCAAAATCTTACATACATCTTCTTATGAGATTTTAAAAAGTGGAACAATTTCATAGCAGCCTGTTATGCCTCCAAACATAACAAGTTGGTCTGAAATGGTTTGAAGTTTTTTCATCTCATAAACTTAATCAATGACTAATGTAGGATTGCAGCCAGAGCTTCATGATTATGAGTTTTGGGGACATGTCACAAAACTCAATATTATTACTTGATGCTATTTTTTTAATTAATTTGGAGTAAGTTTATAAAAATAACAAGATTTCTTATGGGCAGTGTTTGTCCTCTATTTTTATTACTAAAATATACAAATTATTTTAGTATAAAGTCAATACAGGTTGGTGATAATTTGTAACCACAGTTGTAATCTATACAAATACCAGTTATTGTATCATCTTGTTTAAGTTTCCATTTATTATGTTGGGCTAGAAATGTATTTCAGAGTACAGAAATGTATTTCCGTAGTACAAAAGATGTCAGAGTAAAAATATATCATGATTTCTTTGAAAATAATTTCAAAAACAGACTATAAAACTTGCTCCTTAGAACAAACTATAACATTTATGACAATTCAGTATTCAGATGGCACACTAAATCAGAGTTTTCCCAACATTTCACTTTTTAGACATGCATCATTTTGTTACAAAGTAATTCAGTTTTACTCACAAAGCAGAAGTTAAGAGATACGGTTATATACATAAATTATAGTAATGAAATGTATGTGGACACAACTGCTAACACAAAACCCTTTTATTTATATTTTAAAAAATATGTTATTTGTCCTAGCCATCCGCATCAAATCCAATTGGCCCTGTCATCTTTCCCATCTTCTCCAAGCTTTCCTGACTTCTCATTATGTGGCCAAAGTACTTAATTTTTTCCTCTAATATCCTTCCCTCCAGTGAGCAGTTGGGCTTTTTTCCTGGAGTATGGGTTGGTTTGATCTTCTTGTGGTCCAAGGCAGTCTCATAATTTTCCTCCAGTACCACAGTCTAAAAGTGTATGTCTTCCTTCGCTCAGTAGACTGATGTAAAAGGAACAATATAGCATACCAGTGAGCTTATATTATACCCAGTCTAAATTTGCTAGGCCATTTTGACTGATTCATTTAAGACTCCCCACAGCATTTGAAATGATGTTTCATACAAATGAAGTAGGTTTGATTGCTGAACAAAATTACATTAGTTGAGGTTCATTAAAAAATCCCTTTTGTAGGAAACATTTTTTTCCGTTAACTCTGCAAAGCAAAACTGAGATTTATTCTAAACGTATTCAACGACATCTTGATTATTGCTTTATACATGAATCTTAACTCCTGTTCAGTGAAACATCTGGAAGCTTATCTGGTCTTTTTAGAATTGTTTGTTGGTTTCAAGTAACAATCGTGCCAGATGCCTGGAGATGGAGGGTATTTTTCTTCTCTTCACAGATACAAGTATTGTAGTCACAGATTATGAGTTTTCTATAGCCACCAAACATTCTAGGCTATCTGTAACTAATCATAGAAATTAAAAATGCAAAATACGAGAAATGTATGTGCAATTTTTAAGTTTTGACAATCTATCTCTAAAAGTAGACAAGTAAATAAGAGGATTATCCCAAAGAGACATGGTTAAGTAATCAGTTTAGGAATTTTAGAAGCTTTCTCGGAGTTCAACTAAATGGAAATCCAGATCTAGGCTCCTAAAATATCTAGAAATGTTTGTCTTTGTCTTTAGAAAATATAATCAGATATTTAGTCCTATGCTTTAAAGGAATAAGTTTGTTTGGGGCTCGTCAAAAAGAAGAAAAAACGTATCTGGAAGTATTTTCATTATTATTATTATTATTATTATTATTATTATTATTATTATTATTATTTATACCTCCATATTTCCAGGTGTCTAATCAAACTCTGTTCCCTCCCTCCCCTTCACTTGCATTTTTTCTCTTCTCCCTCCAAATGATCACATGTCATATGTAGACTCACACAACATTTCAGAAATTCATCTTGAGTTAAAAATGTAAGCTATCTCTGGTATTCCAATAGTCTGGTAGTTATTACAATGCAAATAGTATGTATTCATCATCCAGCAGTCCTTACTTGGCAAGAGTTTTACTGGGTTTTTTTAAAAAAAAAATAATTTCCTTGGATTGTTTTGATGTGTAATTAGTTTAATCCTGAAGAATTTGCCTGTGATATCTTGACCTTAATTCTTCTTTTTATTGGATGGAACTTACTTCATTCCAGGATGTGTGGGACCCACAAGGAAATACTTTCTGAATATGCTTTTTTCCTATTCATTTCTTAACTATGGCTTTTCCAAGCTGACTGACTGCAATCCTATCTGTGTCTATTGAGAATAAGGCTTCAAGGAGCTCAGTGGGACTCTTCCCAAGTAGTTAGGCATTGAACTGAAATCTTATGCACATTCCCAGAGGAGAAGGTTTGCTTGAACTTTGGGACTTAAACATATAGGGTCAGTCTATAAGGCAATTCTGCTGAAAGTGTTATTGAAGGCTTTCATGGCTGAAATCACTGGGTTACTGTGAGTTTTCCAGGCTGTATGGCTATGTTCCAGAAGCATTCTCTCCTGATGTTTCACCCACATCTGTGGCAGGCATCCCCTCAAAGGTGTGAGGTCTGTTGGAAACTAGGCAAGTGGGGTTTATATATCTGGAATATCCAGGGTGAGAGAAAGAACTCATTCAAGAAAGCATGCTTCTAGAACATGGCCATATAGCCCGAAAAACCTACAACAACCCAGTGATTCCGGCAATGAAAACCTTCGACAATACAGCAATTGAATTATTGCTAATACCACAGAGAAGCCACTTGGATGTGTTTTTACTCAGAGAAGGATTGATGCAACCAATTCAATTTCAAGAGCCAGCATCAGCAATAATAGTGCACAACACTGTTCATGCCGATAAGGTGGCTGACAGGTGTGCATGTCAATAATATATCAAAGCACAATGCACTCTGTCACAAATGTCTTTGTGGTATTACATCATTTTCATTATTTTTAAAAAGATTTGAATGCAGACACACTATGGTAATAATGTGCACCAACTTATTACAGTTATACAGCAAGGAGAACTCACAGCATGAACTTCCAACATATATGCAACCCGATAGCTGTGCAACTGAACAAAT